ATTGAGACAATGGGTGGCAAATTGTGGAAGGGGGAAGTAAGGGGTGGCAAATCATCAAATCGCCCCACTATAAGCTACTCCCTCCGTTCTAAAATAGATGACTCAACTTTGTACTAACTTTGTACAAAGTTGAGCCATCTACTCCCTTCGTTCCTAAATACTTGTCTTTCTAGGCATTTCAACAAGTGACTACATACGGAGCAAAATGAGTGAATCTACACTCTAAAATATGTCTACATACATCCGTATGTAGTAGTCATTTGAAATGTCTAGAAAGACAAATATTTAGGAACGGAGGGAGTATTTCGGAACGGAGGGAGTAATAACCAGAAGCCAAAGCAGGAGCTGTGGAAAATGCTGCTATTGTCTAACTGACTGCCCTGTGGTCTTTGATTGGCAGGTGGCTACCCCTTTGAGCCTCCTAAGATGCAGTTCATCACCAAAGTATGGTACGCAAGCTATCCTTCTCCCTGTGATTTGTTTGTATTCCCCTCCTTTTGTATGCCTTGGTGAAGGAGGATCTGAATGTTCCTTGTCTGTAGGAATGCATTACTCTGAGCCAACAATTGCAAATATTTGATATGGTTTTCCAAGTTCTTATATTTGTTGCTGTTTAACCAAATATGGTGATTACCAGTAGGACATTGTTAATCAAATTAATGCAACAAGCAGAAAATCTGCTGTTTCAATGTTGGCATAGTCTTAAGGTATTGTTATGAATTTACTCTTCAAATGGGGGCGAGTCTCCCAATCTTCAAATATATGTGATATCTATCCAATGTTCTTGTATTTGCAATGAGTCAACTGCTGCTTCCTGACTGGCAAGTACAAGTCACTCTATCTACAACTCTGATTTGTGCTCAACCTATGTTGAAGGCACCCGAATATTAGCAGCCAAAATGGAGCAATTTGCTTGGACATACTGAAAGATCAGTGGAGCCCAGCCCTTACCTTGAAGACAGCATTGCTATCCCTTCAAGCTCTTCTTTCTGCTCCTGCCCCTGATGATCCTCAGGATGCTGTTGTTGCACAACAGGTCTAACTCAATCTTTACTTTTTATAGTTCCATGTTTTTAACACACAACTTATGCCCGGGGGCTAGTGTGCATTGGAGAGAAAACAAACTGAGATTTTCTATTCCTCGGGCGATCTTCTAACCATTGAGTCATTGACTCAGGCATTTCTTTCTCCAGGAGTTCAGTTGTGTTCTTGTTATTGTTCGTATGTTTTGCCTGGGCTACTGAGCATTTAACACCCCTATTCCTGTGGCAATTTTGGTTGTCCGTACATGTCAATCAATACACAGCCGTGGTCACCATTGTGGTTGGGTTTTAAGGTTTATGGGCATTTAATACCGGCTATGCTGCGTGCTCTATGTATACTTGGTGCTAGATGACACGGTATGGTGTACGGTAGTTCTGGTTAGTTAGCAATCTTTTCAGCACTCAGCGCTTTCTACTCTGTGTATGTCATGTAATTGATAGTACACTTAAAGTTTAGAATATGTCTTCCAATCAGCTCTTCAGTAAGATGCAATGTTTTACCAGATTGTTTACTAACCTAACCAGGTCGGTAATGCCATCCAGTGCTAATAAAAGAATTCCACATGGTGTCCTTAGCGAGTAAAAGTTAAGATTGGTTGGGCATATAAGCAACAAACTCAGCTGGGTGCTTTATTTTTTAGTGTACCGTGTTTGCTGGATGAGAGAAGTCCACATTACAACCCTGAACTCGGTTTAAGAATCAACCCTAAATTACAAAACTGGTCGAAACACACCCTGAACTAACGACCAGGTTCAGGAATCAACCCTGCACTCGGTTTTGACCACACCTGAGGCGGCTTTGACCCCGTTGACTTGGCAGTGCCATGTCAGCAAGTAGGGCGGCATCTCTCTCTCTCTCTCTCCCCCCCCCCCTGAGCCCAAGCCCTCCCCCACA